ATTTTATGCCAACTTTGTTGGGTTTATTGGGCATATACTGTGTAAACCTGCACTTGGCTTTTGATGGAAATAATTGCTCGTCAACTGTTATATTTTGCCCTGGTTGATAGCAAGCTTGACTATTTTCAATGAACTTGTCCCATATTTCCGAAACCAAGGCAAACTAATTTGTTTGTAGGTGCCTACTTCTTTCGGTTCTTTTGTCAAAACGAATAAATCGTAGGATTTGCTTGAACTTTTCTCTGGCCATAGTTTTTCTAAAAAATTCGGGACCCTACTTTGCTGACCATAAATAACTGAGTTTTAAATTCTTGGCCTCGTAGGCTCCACGAGCATATAAAATCCCAATAAATGCACATATTTCCGGTAATGTTGTTGTCCAGTCGTTCCTCAAAATTCGGCGGCCTTCTTCTGTGCACTTTTTAAAAAATTTCCCCAAGCATTCAAAATGACTGCTCTCGGGCAATATAGGTATAACACACATATATATATACCGGAAATGAAGGAGGGGGAGGTAACTACAATTAGTAATAAATGCATTTATATGTTGTATAAAAAGTCACAAAATTCTAAGAAATTCTGTCATTATATACATCATTGTTTTTCTAATTGAAATTAAAAAGCAGTCAAAATGACTTCCTTGGGCAATCTAGTGTTAAATGTGAAGCTTGAAAGGCAACTTGTGGGGTTGAATCAAGGTACCCCTGTTCAGCAGCTGAAACAGGTGTGTCGGCAGCACTTGGAAATCTTGTTTCTACAATCCTACTGACTGGACAGCTTGCCAGGCCAGGAAACATTTTGATTTTTTGTAGAATAATAACTTTTTGCCTTGGTATGCAGAATCTTATCTTCATGTCTGGGCTCTACTCTGCTATACAAAAGACAGTCCTTCTGTCCCATCATGTAGTTGGTTTAGACTCACAGTGGTTCTCAACCTTCCTAATGCTGCGACCCTTTAATACATACAGTTCCTCATGTTGTGGTGACCCCCAACCATAAAATTATTTTCATTGCTACTTGATAACTGTAATTTTGCTACTGTTATGAATCATAATGTAAATATCTGATACGCGGGATGTATTTTCATTGTTCGCAACCCACAGGTTGAGAACTGCTGGAGGGTTTTAGGGCCTGCCGTGTGCCCTGTGCAGTGTGCCAGGTGCTGGAGATGGGCTCTCCATTTTCTAAGGGGGAGAGGGACTGATGGGGAGGCAGGAGGGGGAGGGAAGACTCTGAAGTTCAGGAGGAGACAGTGCTTCACTGGAATTGGGTCGGACGAAGGGGAGACTGAAGCAGGGAGAGAGATACTGTGCTGAAGGGTTGGGCTTGTTCCAGATATCTATTACTGTGTAACCAGCTATGCCAAGCTGTGTGGCTTGAAACAACAACCATGTTATTTACTGATTCTGTGGGTAAGAAATTTGGACAGTATTCCAAATTCTTCTGTCCCACATGGTATCAACTGATGTCACTTGGTGGAAGACAGCTGATGGAATGGCTGGTCTGGAGGGTCCAACATGGCTTCACGTGCACAACTGGTACCTTAGGGTGGTTGGGAGGTGCAGCTGGGACTTCCAACTGGAGTCCCCGTGCGTGCCCTCCTCAGCATGGTGGTCCCAGGTTTCTTACATGGCAGCTCAAAGCTCCAGGAGACCCAGGCAGAAACTGCAAGCTTTTTCAGACCAGGCTTTGGAAATCTCTGACCTTCACTTCCTCCCCATTCTGGTGGTAAACAAGTCACTATGGCCAGCCCAGGTTTAAGGAGGGGGCTTAGACTCACTTCTCAGTGGGATAAGTAATGGGAATTTACTTATCTTTGATTTACCACACTGTGGTCCTTGATGGGAAAGCCACTGGTGGACTTTCAGGGGAGACAGTCAGATGGAGTAGAAGGTGCATGACACATGACCAGGTGCACTTTCAGATTTTGAGGCAAAGATCAAGCAGTAGTGGATTGAAAATTCAACAAGTATTGGAAGTGGGATATTCAGTGTGAAGTACTCTTCCAAGATTCTTGGCTGTGAGGAAAAGATGGAAGTGGGAGTGGTGATCAGAGTAAGACTGATAGTTGGAGGGGATTGCTTTTTTTTAATCCTCACCCAAGAATAAAGTTTTTATTGATTTTTAGATTAGATTGGAAGGGAGGGAGGGAGAAAGAGAAGGAGGGAAATTGTTGTGAGAGAGAAACATTGATCAGATGCTTCCTGTACACGCCCTGACCAGGAATGGAACTCAAAATCTAGGTATGTGCCCTGATCGGGGATTGAACCCACAACCTTTTGTTGTGCAGGATGCTGCTTCAACCAACTGAGCAATCCAGCCAGAGTGGGCTTGCTTATTTTTAACTTTGATTGTGTGCTTTGAAGATGGGTGAGGTGATCAATGTTCTGGTGTTTTCCAAATCATATGTGTGCATTTTTGTTCTACTAACTGATTAACGCTGTTGAAATTCTCTCTTGTCTTTGGTGATACAACTTTCTCTGGTCCTCATCCTTCTGCCTGTGACTAAGATGGGATTCTTTCTTTAAGTGATTTTATTTCCAGTGTCTGTCCTTGCCTTCTTTACTTCTTTAATTTCATCTACTCTCACGATGTTAACTGCCACTTGTATGGTGAAAGCACCCAAATCTGTAACTTTTGTTGCCTCCTACATGCCTTCCCCTAGATGTCCCTGTAATTCCCAGTCCTCTTTAATTGATGCTATCACCCTGGCCTAGGTCAGAAGCCTATATGACAGCCCCTTTCTCTGTCCCTTACTCTGTGTAGCTAAACAAATCACCAAGTACTATTGATTTTTGCCATTAAAACCAAGGTTCTTGATTGTGGCTGCAAGCAAGCATCTCCTGTGGACCTTTTACACTGTGCACACCTGGAG